TTATGTATTCGGAATTCAGATTTAATAACAGCACACGTTGTTACCTCGACATACGGTGCGAAATTATTTCGAAGATATGCCATTCAGGGAATTGCCACTAATTAAAACGAATATGAGATACAAAAGATCATGGACCATTGTTTCGGAAAAGAAAGGGGAAGTAGTACGCAGCTGGCGTAACGGGCAAGAGACTTCTCGTAATACCCCATTTCGAGTCCCCGGCGTAAATGAGTCAACCTACGCGAGCGCGGTCGAGGGTTATATTTCATAAGCGGGCGGTTACACCGAAAACCACGCGACACTTCAAAGGTGCCTGGGAGAGACTTGTGAGGTTCACACAGAATAACCGAGGTCAAAAGTATCCCGTTCTCTCGTGTCACATCGCGCCGACATACTCGCGCGCATAAATCCGCGTCTCGTCGCAGAGGTTTCGCATGGTTACGCCCTTAAATGCGATGCATGCACCTCGAACTGCAGTGGATTTCGAGGCGCATTTAAGCACGCGCGACGCGGTATTGTATATTGTTGGGCATTGCGCAGATTGCGCAGGGTATTTAGGGTAAGCCGCCCGACACGCGACGCACACGCGGCGCAGTGCACCGTAGGGTGTATAACACCGGTGATGGTTATGATAAGTACACGCACACTTCTTGCCTTATCATCGTGCACCGTAAAACCACGTCGTTCGTCAACAGCCATTCATGTAACTGCATTGCAGTTGTCGTCATCAACGTCTCCTCGTTCTGCGAGCCATCCATCCTCCGACTTTTCATCAATTCTCTTTGATCGCTGCGTAAAATTCCAAATGTTTTCACGATTTTTTTCTAATTAATTAAACTGTATGAGAATTTAATCCGTGTGCTTTGTATCTTATTCATGATCTCGTCCAATAGAGAGTTAGGTAAAAAGTTATCTTTTTGCTATTTATATCTTATAAAGTCTCTCGCACATTTATTTATTATTAAAATATGAAGGATACTATAAAAACAGACTTTTTTGTACTAAATAAAATATATCTATTTCAGATAATTTTTTATAAAAATTTCGTTTAATCTGTACATCGAAGATGTTTTTATCTATTTTCGCATTGCTTCCAGTCTCCATGGAGATAGTCGTATTTCCTCGATACCAATCGGATTTCACGTTCGCGATATCAATCGAATATATTGGTTTTCAGATACATGCGCGCATCGATTCAACAAGTACTACACGTGCAATTAAATGTGCATTACTGAGATTTCATATCTCGGTCGTGTTCGCACCGTGCAGAGCTCTGTAATGGCCTGCTGCACAGCGGGTGTCCTGCTGTATTTCTGGTAATCTGCGCCTTGAATAGCAAGGAAAGAAAGAATTCCATTTTCAGATGACGAATAATGAAATTAGAAAATGCAAGCTGTTCTGCAAAAAAAGCTTTGAATCAACGGTCTAATAGTATTTTTCTCTCTCTTTCTCTCTGTCTGATGAATGTGAAAATAATTTCTCTTTTGAGATTAAAAAGTACGATCTAATTTAGAGATTAATATTAAAGATTAAAAGATCGGGATAAAATTACACTTCTGCAGGAATAAAAATAAATAAACGTATTTCTTAGTCAATTTTAAGTAAATCTCTCTTGAATAAAACTGTAATCTTGCTGAAAATTTTGCTTTCGTCACGATTCATTCATAATCTAAAGATAACTAAGATATAACATTTTATATGTTGTAACATTTCAAAAAGAGCATTGTGACAAAATACATTTAAAGTTTATTACAAATGTCTTCAAATATTCTATTTTAAGAGAATTGAAATACAAATGATTTATGTCACAATATTTCCACTCAATTGTTTACTGTAATGTAAACTGAAAACTTTTCTGTGATCTTATCAAAAGTACTCTGGATACATTCACTTTAATTTAGTTTCGAATTTCTCACTTGATTACTTAACTTAGATTACACGTGGTGTTAGTTACATGTATCTTAACCTATGTAGGCTTTGCGGGAATGCGGGAATTCTAGAGAATGCGGTTGAACATGCGAAGTAAACATCGTTAGCGGTTTCTATCTCTGCAAAATAAATTTTATACATCTATTTTCTAAATTCATCCAGGTAATACTTTGCAACATTTATTTATTACAAATATTTTTGTTTATTAAATACTTAAGCAAATTATTTTTCTAAAATGTATCTTTGAAGATTATTATAATTATGATAAATATGTTAGTTTCGTATATATTTATTACACCGTAAGAAATATAAATACAGAAAACTTGTTTTAACTTGAATTATTTTTTTAATGAACTTAAAGAGTTTTTCTAATTAAACTTTGAAAAAAGCAAATGTCTGTTTAATTTTTTAAGTAAACTTATTCTAGTATAATTTTAGACTTATAATTATATAATTTTGTATATTATCTTTACTAACTTATATTAATTTGAGACTTAGCTATCAAAAAGATTTAGTATCGAAAATTAAAAGTTTTGAAAAAATCTTGATCGTTAAAGAATTAACTTCAAATTTGCCAAAGAATCTTGAAATAAAAAGTACGCGGCTTAAAAAAAGTGCATCCATGAAACTTTTGACGAGAGTAAGCAATTAAAAGATCGAGAGGAAAGTTTTAGCGAGATCTTACGAACTTACAAACCATTGGTTTGTCGAATTATGCAGTTTGATTTAAGAACAAATTGAAACATCGTCCACTTTTTGCAGCCTTGTGCAAGATCAGTCAAATTTTCTTTCAAACTCTCGCGTGAGGATATTATTAGATGTTATATTGAAAAGATGGCGTCGTATCAAAGCTTTGATTACACCACGCGACGTAATATTAGAGTGGATCTTTTCTTCGATAAGCCTAGCGCATTTAATCTCATAATAGAAAATTTCACGATCCGTTAGGTATACTCAAACGTTTTCTTTTTCATTTTTTAATTTTTTCATCGCGCAGGACACGAAAGTGTGCCGGTGGGAAAAGAGATATTGTAAGCTTCCTTTGGATGCTTACAAAGAAAATCCGAAGCGCTTAAATATGACGTAGCGACCGCCTTCTCATAATCTGTATTCAACCGCTGTAATCACTTTCGCTCCCCTCCGAGATTGAATTTCACGGGTAGCTGTTTAAAAAGCGGAATTTATATTCGGCTAGACGCACTCTTAGCGCGTCAGAGGATAAGTATCAATGCTACTCGGCCATTAATCATTGGTCGAGATTCTTTTTTGCACGTTCCGCCATATATCACACTGGATCGCGCGAATTGCATAATTCCTCAGTTGAGAAAATGTGAAGTCAGCAAGCGCTCCTATAATACTCGCATGTTTTCGCCGATATTCTTTGTTGCAACTAGCATTAAACTTGATATGTCAAGCGTACGGACACAATGCAATATACACGTAAATATTTGCATCGATTTTCATCTATTTTTTACTTATGACACAGACTGTAACAAAAAATTATATATATTATGCATATTTAATTGAAAAGTGAACTTTATGACATGATGGTGAAACAGTGGAAAGTCTTTTCTTTTATACTTAGTTCGCCTTTGAAAAACTTTTTAACAAAGTTAAATTAATTTAAAGTTTAAAGAGGATTATTATATTTTTATCGTGGATATTATATTTTTATATCATTCGTACATTGTAGTGACTCTATTACGAAGTTCACTCAATTAGTTTTGTTAGGCTTCGCTTGATTGGCCGCGATTAGAAGTCATCTTCTATCCAATTCATCAGCCTAATACTTCGTTATTTGAGAAGATAAATCAGAAACTCTACTACATTACTCTCGTAATTACATCAAATCAAATGTCTTTGCATTTCTAAGTATTCTTCTTTCTATTTATTGCTAGAAAATGAATAAGCCCAGCGCACAGAAATATCTATTGTTGTTTATTTCGACTGTCCAAACAATTTCGAACATACGTAATGTTCGAGATTGAAATGTTAATACATATTCTACAGTCTGTTGGCTTAATAATCTATATAATACGAGATGTTCTGTGTAATTTACCGTTGGTTCGACGCGAATGCTGTTAAACTTCGCAACAACTATCTTCTAGAAGCATGTTGGCATCAGGTGCACATATAACACTTTGAATCGAGAATTATGTTATTACTGAGATTATTATCACTTAAGAAACTATTAAGCAGAAGATTATTACGGTTTAACTGATATTTGAATAGAAAATAAATAAATATATTTAAAAAGTAATTAAATAAGAGAGTAAATAATTTTATCAAAATTGTTTCAGCTTTTATTGCTGAATTATTTATTATATAAAAAGTCGTGACTAATGTGTCTTCGAAGGATATTTACTTTTTCTATACCTATACCAATTACAATTTTTTAATATGAAATACTTTATAAAGATTAGATTTTGTAAAACATATGTAATATCAGAGAGAGACAACCTATATCTACATCAATCTGTCGTCGCCTACATCGATAAAAGTTTAGACAAACTTCTTACAATTCACTTACAAATCATTCTACCGTACGATTTACTCGAATAACTTACTTTCGATGCTATCACGACTTTCGCGACGATAATGATCCATTAAGAAAGCCGGAACTCGGCCATTCCGGCCAATACTTTCGACAGGCTCGCTCTTTGCCTCCGCGACTTGACAAGAAGCGATTTCACGCAAGAAGAAAAAAAGGGGAATGGAAGGACATTAATCGGGAGAACACGATGGCAGAAACGTTAGCGGGTCCTCTAACTTTCCATCGAAGTGGAAACCCTCGTCTTTAGCGTGGTACGACGTTGAACGTGCAGGATGACGAAAAGGCGGGATGGGAGGGACAGGGCAGGGAATTCACCTCCTTCCGATTCCGGATGAACGGATTTCATTGAAAGCAGATTTACATTTCCTCTTCTCTCTCTCTCTCTCTCTCGCGCGCGCGCGCGTTCTCTCTATATACGGTACCCTTACCGTAGCCGTCTTACCTACCCTTTAGCGTTCGCGAATTCTTTTTCTCATGACGTTCACACGTTCTCCAACTCACGCTTGATTTGTTGCAGTTGGAGACGACCACGAGGCAACAGCGGACGAAGGAAGATGAGGGAACGCAGTGGAGCGAGATCAGTCTCACCCTTCAGCCGTTCCATTACACGAACGGTCGTTTGAATCTACGTTGCACCGCGGAGATACCTGGCATCTACACAAAGCAAAGCGAACTCCATCTCCTTTCGGGTATGAGCGAACCCGTGCCTGAAAGAGGTAACTATAAAAATTCTATTTCTATTTGTTCCATATTGATCTAAAAACTATCGATCTTATATTACGTCCTATAAATTGCTTTTTACTTTGGATTCGACTTCACAATTCGAGAGAATTTCTACGATAACGAATACATATCGTTATATTTAGTCCAATCAAGTCGAATGACATAACATAAATGTCATTACGTTAAAATGGAAAAAGTTTTGAAAATTTTGCATATAATTTATGACTTTAATATTTCTCTGAAACTTTTTTGAGTTTAATACTCAACACTTGTATATTACGTCATTGTATTCAATTTGTCTAGCTAACTTGAATGATAATTCGAATTAAACTTCGAACGTAGCGAATATTCAAGATTAGCGCACATTGGATCAAATCCGTTTAGTTCAAGTTAGATTATGTTCGATTAGAATTAGATCAGGTTTCTCGGTCTACAATATCTCTATAGACAACCTCGTTAGCAAGTGTCTAGAATATCCTTTGTAACGTGTTGATAGTTATACCAAACTTAGTAGCGATGTTTTAACAGAAAAAATTATTAGGCGGGAATATGATAATGACCAGATAATTGCTTTTTCGTGCTTTTCGTGATTCATGACTTGATCTCGATGATTCTACGATCAACCAACACACGCTCGGGCTAACCGAGTCGAGATTAGTCGGTCGGTCGCACAGACTAATAAATTCTGAGAGCAGGGTCCACCCACTCGAAATCGGTAAGGAAGCCTCCGGTGCACGCTGCACTCGCTTTCCTGCACGCGACGTCGACGAGATTTAATTGAGCGGCCACGGGTATAACCTACGCTCCCATTACCTTCCGGCCGGCTGACCCGTCCTTTCACCCTTTGCCCGGTGTACCCGCCGGCGTTCCAACTTTCATCGCCAAGTATACGTGCCGAGTCGCTAGTGCGATTCCGATGATTTCACCGTTCTCCCTGTGGATCCTACGTGGATGCAAAATAATTCACGAGTCACATAGTCTGGATAGGTCGAACATACAGATTTACAAAATAGTACTTCGAATTAAAAAAAAGAAAAAGTCGCGTTTGTCGTACATTTCTGAAAATGTCAACATTGCTTAAAAAGTTTAAGTTTTTTAATTTTTTTATTGTTTTTTTTATAGAGATTATTTCCTATGAAGATATTATTTTAATGACGGAACAAAACTCGCAACTATGGATTATGTATAATACAGCCCATCTTAGATAATTCTTCTATTCTATAATTTGTTAATTATTCATTGATTCTTTACAAAAAGCATTTATTTTTCAGCGGTATAACTAAGTAAAATTTTTGGTTTAAATACTTTTTCATATAACGTATCTTTTAAAACGTAGTTACACGTAGTTTACAAGTATAATATAATTTTAACAAATTCTGTTACTATCCTGTATTTTACAATCCTGTATCATGCGCCGAGAACTAGTTAAAGCCTAGCTTTGAATCTGCAGCAATGTATACCAATAGATTGCATTGATGCAATGCACGTTACCAGTGTCCCCATTGGCAACCCCAATTTTATGATCACATTCGTACCTCGCGGAATCGAAAAGTATCGTCCGCCGATAATCTATATCCTGGTGTTTTGAATCTGGCTCTCCAATGGATTCTGCTCAAAATACGGGTGATTGGATACTTCCGTTCGCCCGACGGTTGGGAAAATACCTAGTGGATTTTTGCGTATTGTGCAATTCGTCCTGGAAAAACAGGACGAATACGTAAGCCCCATTGTACGCCATTTTTTGCCCATTGTATATCTTGCTTATGATACGATATTCCCTGCTTTTAGAAAAAACAAACAGCGCTGTATGTGAATCCTATTGTTTGCTATTATGTACCATATTGTATGTAGTTTATTGGCTAATAAATGGCATATTCCATTTTTCACTATTGCACGATCAGATAGTATTTACAATAAATTGATACGATCTGCCAAAGTCTAGGCTTTTATTTTATATTGAGCATCTTTTTTCTTTCTAAATGTTACTCTTTTGATTAAATATATCTGAAACGTTCGGATCCTTTTGTTGAACATTTTATTTTATTTCATAAAATGTAATATCGCTTTTATGTATTTCTGCACTTCATGTGGAAAGATTGAAATTAAATTATCAATTTCTTAAGAAAAATATTTGAAAAATTTCTTAAATTAGCGAAACTGCCAATAGAAAAAAACGCGAACACTAAAAATATTAAGATCAGTTCAACACACTAAAATGATCAAAGAATTCGTATGTGAAACGTAGCGCGGGCGATTTGGAGCATTCGATAGAAATTTCAGAGATCTCGTTTTCACATTGCGAATGTAAGCTTTCGTACGCGAAGAGATATAAAGTATTTGCGCTCGATGCAATATGAAAGAGGAATGTGGCCCATAGATTTTTTAGTGATTTTCTTCTGCTGAAGTGAACTGAAGTTTAATATGTGAAACGCGATGCAAAGTAGATGGATGACTTGAAGAAATGGTTGGCAGATGTTGTCGTGGACCGGTATGAAGAATGTTCATGAATTCGCCGACATAGTGATGCCTCGGAAAACTTCTTATCGTAACGTTGGACAATGCTGGCGAACATGACATGTAACGCGTGCGCTGCTTTAATGCATTGAATTGATAAACTCGCGTTATTTCGATATAGCCAATCAACTATGCAGTGGTAAACCAGAGTTATTCCGAGATAGGTAATCAACTATGCTGCGGTAAACCGAAATATCACACGTAATACGAAGCTGAAGTACACACAATATTACAGCATCCATTGTTAACGACGTATTGTCTATCGGTTGCCTTAAGTTATACTATTCTCCGCAATCCTTCCGAAAATGTTTCTCGTAAGTTAAATTTCAGACGAAATCCATTAGTCATGCTGATAAAAATTCCGTTGTCGACATCGATAAAACATTTTGACACACAATGTGGGGTAATCCCTTTTCCAACTGTCGAAGTATACGTACGTACATACGTACATTCGCAATTTGTGAAAATAAAGGAAAGCCATTTGTACGCGAAACAAAATTAACGCGCGCGCATTCAATTCCGTATACGGTTTGACCGGTTGCCAGCACAGCGTGAATTTAATAAATCGCAGAGGAACGCGCGCGCGGGGGAATGTGTATTGCGGAACATATAAAAATTTCGATTTTAGCACATAGCGGCATTTATCAAAGCTTGTACGCGCGAGTTAGATATGACGGTATCGTAATCACTTCTGCTAGGCTGTGTATTAGCCCCTTGACATTTTTCGTTAAATGTTATTCGCATCTGTCGACTCTCTGTATTGTTAAGCTACCGGAGCTCGGTTCACCTCATATTTGTTTATTTTGAAAAGGCCGGTGGTCTATATTCCGGCGCGGAAGCGGTACGTTCATTTTATTTTCAATGACGTTTGCCCGATAACATTTAATAAGCGCCGGTCGCATGCAGCATTCTATAAAAGACTGTGACATTTACAGAAAATAAAAGCGACCACAAAAATGGTATTTTCCGCTATGTTCGTTTTTTTTTTTCATTTGAATAGCTCGCGTTTGTATAGAATATCCGATTTATAATATGTAGCATTGGTATAACATAACACAATAGCATTATAAGCCCGCACGATATCACTAATTTGACACGATGTCATTTCAGTATGTATTTTTTATTCGATTATTTTATAATAGAAAACTAACTAGTTACATTAATAATGTAAAATCACGTGTTTTTCGTGTTTTTCTTGATTCTTTACACGGAAAAAACAATTTTGCTGAAGTATCTAAAAATTTAGTTCGATAGACAAACCTGAAAACAATTTTGTTGGATCATCAAAATAATTACGTACAAATCTCATGATGAGCAATACTGCAAAAAATTTTGATATTCTAACAACCAGTTTGAGTTCTACATAATTTTGATGGCCCAACAAAATTTCATTTCGGTTTTCAGATCTGTATCTAACCAAATTTTTAGATTCTTTAGTAAAACTTCTTTCCGTGTCCAATCATATTTTGCAAATAACAATTATGTTAATGCAACAAAATACTAAAATATGAAAGGTCGATTTAACGAGAAAAAAGTTAAAAAATTACAGTTATATTAAATGTAATTTTTCAACTTTTATTCTATTTTCTCGTTAATTCAACTGTCCCTCATTTTTTTATGCGTATTTCAATTGTATAAAAAGATTTTACTATCTATACAGTCAATTCGAAGAATATTCTCACCTGTAATTTCATCATTTTAGAATCCCCTTAATAATATTTAGAATTAAATATATTGTAATAAAATAATTGATACTTGCAAAGTTTATTTTATCACAGCTACATAATGCTGAAAATTTAATTTATCAAAACCGATAATGCTGATTTTATACTTGTTAATATTTTATATTTTTTAATTGGAGAAACACAAGCACGTTAAAAATGTAATCCGCAAATACGTTTGAAATAATCAATGTATAGTATCTAATAATAATCGATTCACTTAAATTCTACGATTAATGTTTGTTGGCATTTATTTCGCTTTTGAGTTACAAAGTCTACATTACATTTTTTAAACAAGAAATGCACTCGTCTCCCCGATATGATGTTATATAATATCCCCGTATGCATTGTGCGAGATTGTCTCTCCCCTGGAGAATTCGTTCTCGTGTAAAAAAACTCACATCGTGTATGCAGAAGTTCAACGGCGAACTGCTGCGGAAGTACCGTGGATTTCGATATACGCCGGTCCGACTCTCCCTTTTTCGCTTCCCACATGCGCCAATGGTGTGAGGTACGAAAGATTCGGTGCTTCGTTGGAGAAACTTACTCAGGACAAGACGTCGCGCCTCGCGGCGAAACTTCGGCTCTTCTGTCTCGTTTCCCTCTCGCTTCTTCGCCGAGTATCCTCTTCTCGACTCCTTTCCTCCCTGTACCCTTCTCTATTCTCCATCTATCGGCTCCACGAATTACCCAGGACGCTAATCTCACGTGTACGAACGAAACAAGAAGAAAGGGATTTTGAACATCGAGTCTCAGAG